ATTAATTGCTTTAGGATCGTACTTTCGTTTATTAAAAGGGACAGGCAATCTGACAATTTGCTTGAAAAACTTTGTGTGCGTCTGCAGGCATGTGTTGACCAGTAAGTCTTCTAACGATTTTTGAGACATTCTAGTGAGAGTTCACTTCATTCATCGTTTGAGATGCATTTTTATCAAGTTGGTTATGAGCAACAAATCTCTGTACTTTCAACAAAAAATTAGCTTTAGAACTTTTCTAGGAATGGTTTTATTGACGAGTCTTTAGCGGAACGGATTTCTCTTTGTATTGCAAGGCTCCCGCTAACAGAAAAGTCTTCTGCTGTTTTTTCCGAGTACATACCGGCACTTAGTTGTTTATTCCAGAATGATGCTATATATAATAATTTTTCCGCTGCTATTTCTTCTCTCAAGCGAACAGCTATTCGAAACACAGAACTGAAGGTAGGCATTTAGTCCCAGTATTCTTTAATTTCTTTGTTATATAACGCGTAATACGAAAAATTGCTGGATTTTGATTTAAGTCCGAAGTTGACCGAATTCTCGATGATTTAAGCAAGCTTCGAAATGCAGGTGCGGCTCAGGAAGCTGTTAGTGATGAAACACTTCTTCAAATACGGGTATAAATTTATTACATTTTAAAAATTATCTTGCAGTCACAACTCTTAGTGGTACTTCTTGTTTTTTACTTTTAGAAAAGATCTGTGAAAACTTCGAAAAGAGGGATGGTAAGGAAGAAGAAAGTTTGATATTCAGAGTCACTTGTCATTTAAAGGCGGTGGTCAGGACTTTTTCTTTGGAGGATTTGAAATTACTTGCATTACTTGTATTATCATCAATTTTTATGATCCTAACTTTCCTCGTGTGTTATGTTTCATACACTTGTAAAAGCTGATGATCTCACACTTTGCCCTGTACACAACTCTTAACTAGCTTTAAATTTAAAATTAATTCATCAATACAAATCTTTCGCCTCTCCCGTTCTGATTTTGACGATCTGATGTACAGTAATAAAATATTTTAATTGCTCTTCTGTTCTTACTGTAATTTGATTAGTGTGCAGAAGTGCTTCAAAGATATTTTTTATTCATTTAACAAATAACTCTACCTAGGATGTTGAGTATAGTTCTTCTGTTTGCAATACTTTGAGGCTTATTGACGCAGTTAAGATGGAGGAGTTGTTGAAGCGCTGATGCTGACATTGGAGTTTACGACACAGTAGTGCAGCAGTCTTAGAGTGTTATAGCGGTGTTCATGTTTAGCCTTTGAGAGCAAGCATTTTAGGAGTGGTGTCTAGCTTCTCTTCGCTCCAAGAAGGTCTTGCTGTGAAGTAAAAGTCTTCTGACTTTGTTACAATTTAATCTTTTTTAAGTACTTTTGGAACGGTCATTGTTAGCTTATCTGAGTTAGTTTCTTTAGAAAGTGGAAGAAGTGGTTTTATGAGTTTTAGTTCGCAGTTTTGTCTGTATCTTACGTCTTTGATCTGAATTGAAGGTTGTTACCATTAGTTTTCTGATGTTGTGACCCCTTCCTTTGTATCGTGTTGCAATAGTCGCGTTCTGATCGTAGAGTACTGAAATCATTTTGAATATTTGGCCAAATTGTATTTCTTTTGTTGAGCTTTTTTTCTGTCTATTGTTTATTTTGGCAATTAGTTTTCACCTCAGTTCGGTACGATTTGTGCCTACGGAGAAGAGCCATTACTTCCTGTTCGGAAGGCCAGGTTGTCTTTTATATGCATATTGCTGTTTGGATAAAGCATTTCCGCAAGTGATATACAGTATGGGATACTGGGGAAACAAGTCTAAGGCTGTCATCCTTGTGCAGCTAGGTTTTGATCGGCTAGAGTTTTGAGTTTATTCTGCGCGGTGAAAAAAGTTAATTCTCAGCGATGAATTGCCCAAATTTATTCAAAGTAACAAGGATTCTGTTTCTTTATCTCTACAGCGTTTCGCTTTTGCAACAGCAAAGCGTTGTTTTTCTTACGCGAATTGTGTAGAATGTTTTTTAAAGAGGTCGTTCAAGTTCAACAGGCGAAACATTAGTTGGAAAGTGTCAGTGAGGCGATTCTGTGGGACGTTGATTTCGTTTGCTTATTAGTTTCATTGGTTATTAAGAAGCGGCTTTAGAGCATTATCTAAAATGCTTGAAATTATTTGATGAGACATTTTTTATCTTCTTCATTAACACTTGCTTTATGGTTTAGCAGAAAATTCCTGAAATTTTGTTGTTTAGGACAACTATGTCAACATCATCGGGTAGTTATGTGAATTCAAAAGTCCAAGTCACAGCTGAGGATCAAAAAATGATCAACAAGTTTGCTCGTTTGCATCAAAGGTTTTTGGAATTGAAAGTAATTGCCTTTTGAAATAATAAGGAGTTTTATATGTTTGGAGGCAGAACTTCATAGCATTCTTTACCATTGCTGTTTTGGCTGTATTTGAAAACTTTAGTTGTCAAAAGGACTGATAAAAGAAAACAAATCGTCATATTAATATCATCATTTCCCGGTTTTTTATTTTCACTGGACCGAATAACTTTACAAGGTTGCAGGTCAAATCTAAAGAACTGGACAAAAATTTACAAAACTATAACGATGCTGCAGATGAGCTACTGCTATTAGATGATGCAGATGCTGAAACAATACCATTAAAAATGGGGAATGTTTTTGTGCATTATAACATGGTAGGTAAAGTTCTTTAATACAATATCATCTTCAGCAGTTTCGGTGTTATGTGAAGTTTTCTGCGTTGATGTGAATGTCAAATTTCTGTTTTTCACATTTTGGATAAGTTTTTTAAGGATTCGATGACGCAAAAACTGGAGAAATTGAAAGAAGTTACGCAATCAGATCTTTCGCATTTGAAAGATGAGAGCGAGGAAGTGTCAGCTGAAATGGACAGTTTGAAGAGGAAATTATATGGAAAGTTTGGCAACAGTATTAATTTGGAAACAGATAAAGAAGATTAACTGTTCTATGCGTTAATTGGACGTCTGTAACAGTTGTCGGTTTTCTTGCGCTGACGTAGTTTTATGCGATTTACTATGCAGAACAAAGGTATAATGGGAGCAAAATTATCAGATAAGGTGTTTGTATTTGTTTGGATGTTTGGAGAAAGGTCAGCAACGAAATTAAGCAGAATCAATTACTTCTATTATATAATTAACTTTCAAGCATTTTTGCCAATTTTATATAATGCCACAAAAATATTTGTAACCTGTACTGCTAAATTACGTTCTTAATTACTTTGTCAAAAAGTTCTATGAACAAAGGATTGTTTATTATTGTTCAATAAAATACAAAAGAATTTTCAGTATTTACAATATACTTGGAAAGGTTTATTATGAGTCTCTGTTCGAATGAATTTTATATTGCCTGCGTTTGTTGGAAAAAATGGTTTGGTTGCAATATTTGAACAAAATATGTTATGAAAAAGCAAAAATTTACAAAAAAGTTTATACAGCACATTACTGATTATGTTCACAACGCAGAATCATCTCTTCTAAATTGTTTTAGATTGTGGAGTAAATGTTGTTCCAGAGCACTAAGTTAGCAGTAGCATTGTCGAAATATTTGGCGATTAAAAAAAAACACTGTTACACATTAGCGTTCATCAAGTTTTTTCCTCTTTTAGAGATCAAGAAAATTGAGAAAGAAAAAGCACATCAAAGAAAAAGTAACTGTGAAGGATTGATGATGATGATCAGATTAAACGAAAGTGAAAGGAAGAAGCAAGTCTTTAAGAGAATAATTTGAAGATACTTTTTTTTCTCTTCTAAAATCTACAGCAACAGCAAAAATGGTATTACTGACAGTAAAACGAAGGAATTGAAGAATTAGTGCGGTGACTAAAAAAAAAAAATTTGTCTATTAAAAATTATTGGTAATGGTTAGGGTAATGAATTGGAACACTAAATGGGATACCAGAGAGTTAGCTGTACGCTTCATATTACAGTCAGTTTGAAATTTTGTTATAGATTCCATGTCTTCTGCGTTTGTTCACAGGTGAAAGGCATTTATCTGTGAAAATTTTCGTACAGTTGTAAATTGAGTAACTTCTTGAGTTTTTTTTTTTTGCTTAGCCACAAGAACAATTTTTTAGTTGTATTAATGTTTGTAGAATTCAGTGCAGTTGCTGTTGGATTTTGTTATCGCCAAAATGTTGGTTTAGCAATTCCCTCTCCTCAACTGGCACTTTTAGTTTATCTCTTTCGATCTCTCAATCTTTTTTTTTTTTCTTCTTATTGGAAACTAAGCTATTCGTAATGTTCTGTGTGTGTGTGTGTGTGTGTGTGTGTTTGTGTGTTTGTTAGTGTGGTATGTGTGTATGCTTTATGTATATATGTATTTTTGCAATGAATGAATGTTTAAGTGTATGTCTGTGTCTGTGTCGGCGGATAATGTGTGTTTGCGATAAAGAAATATTCGGCTACCGAGCGGAAAGTTGTGCTTCGTTTGCTTAAAAGTTATCCAGCCGGTTTGGTTGGAAAAACTTTAGCAATTGAAATCTGTCTACTTCTAAAAAAATAAATAAATAAATAAATAAATAAAATAAAATAA